TATTTCCTCCTTTTCCATTTGGAAACGTGAATATTTCCAAATACATTTGCCCAGAGCTCTTCTGGGTGAGGCTTAGCTGGAACACAGTTACATGTGCCTGGAGCTAAACCTATCACAGGAAAGTGATTACCTGTCCCAGGGCCGGAGGGAAGCGGAGGATTCTCCGCCTGGCACTTAGTGGGTGCTGAAGCAATATTTTTGGAATGAATAGGAGCTCAGGATAGAAATTCTCCTGATACAAAGGGATACTTCTGGTCCCCTCCCACCACCTGCCCAGCATGTTTCCCTGAGTAGCACACTCTGATTCCAGGAGCCACCATCATACCTGGCCCTGGGGATGTGCAATCCTGTGTTATTCTGAGAGTGGGCAGAATCAGAATCCTTTCCACTTGCAGAATCCTTTTCCTGCAGCAGCTGAAACTGGCTGGAACTTTTAAAAGGACTACACTGGTGTTTAGAAAAGAACACAGTGAGGTTGCATGGGTTTAAAATCTTAACTCTTGTCATTTACCAGCCTGGTGGCTAGGGCAAGTTTTTTAACTTCTCTTGGCTCCATTTCTTCATCTGTAACATGGAGGCAAATAATCCCATCTTATTGTGAGAACTAATAGTATAGCCACTCAGCTGAAGCTCACTTACATTCTATGATGGGCCAGGCATGTAAAGTAAGGGAAAGTGTTGTACTGTGGTTGCTCTTCTTTGGTTTCTGAAGTGAATCTCCAACTACATGGAGCCTACTCATTTCAGGTTTGTGACCAGTTCATGTACCTACAGACCTTATTCTGCTCCTAGCTGACGGAAATCTCTCAGAGACTCTCCCCTGTAAATTCTTAGGTTCTTTCCTTCCCCATTACCATTTCTGCTCTCTCCCTCCAAAAGCAAGATTTTCTACTTTGCAGGCCCTCTGGAAATGACTTGAGGTTGTGCGTGAGACCTTATTCCTGAGAGAACAGTGGCATTTCTGTTCTTTTTCAGAGCCAACAACATTTAAGAAACTGGCTTACTAGCTCTACTCCCCTCTCCTCTGCCAAACACACACACACACACACACACACACACACACACACACACACACACACACACTGGCTAGAGTTGAAATTCTTCACATGGGCATTTATACTTTATAAAACAGAATGATGGCCACCTTGAGTGTTTTAGCATCATATTTTACTTGGGTCTCTGACAAACTGGTGTCCAAAATGCATGCTCCAAATTAATGTTAGTGAAGTTTACTAGGACTGTCCCAGCTGGGCCAGGATTTTGAAGAGGGGTGTGATCAGTGTCCCCAAATCATTGAAGGGCTTTGGCAAAGTATGTTAGGCTTACTCTGGGCAGTTCCAGAGGAAGACAAGTATCAATGAGAGGAAGTTAACAGGAGGCAGATTCTCACTCAGGAGAGGAGAGTTTCCAAACAGAGAAGTCAAAAATGGTGCTGACTTCCTTGTCAGACCCAGCGTTCCTTCCCACTATATGACTTGCAGTGATGGAGCATTTATCCAGGATTTCCCAGGGCCAGTAATTTTTGGTAATTATTTGAATTCAAAGTGATTTGTTAAATTTATAGCAAAATATAATTTTATTTTGTGCCTTTTTTCAATACATCATGTGGGGGCAGGGAGCAGAATCTTTGATTAGGTTTAGCATACTGATTATTTGTTTGAAAACAATGGGAGATTCCTATGTTAGGTGGGAGTTCAGATTCAAAGGTCTCCCAGTCCTTGGATTCTATGTTAAATATGATGCTGAGAGTGGTTTAATATGAGGAAGTGCACAAGAATCAAATAGAAAACTTTGTTTTCAGGGTCTGCCATTGAGTGGTGTCAGCTGTGGCCCAACAGATAAAGCCAACCTCTGAAACCCACTGAAATCACTAGAAGTAGGGGAAGAGAGCAATCAGGAGCAGTGTGAAGTTTGTGTGTTGAACACCTACTGTGTGCTTTAACTACTGAATATATTTGCAACTCATTGTTACAATGCACTAATTACTTTCTATTTAGTCACTAATTAGCACTAATTGTTAAATACAAAACAGATCCTACAAATCAATAAGAAAAATAAGGAAAGGGCCAAAGACCCAAATTAAAAGTAGGCAAGAGAAATGTATAGCATAGGAAATATAATCTCTTATACATTTGAAAAGATGCTACTTGTAATAAAAAAAAATTCATTTAAAAATCACGGTGAGAACTACCTCACACCCATTGAGATGACACACACACACACACACACACACAAAGATAAATGTTGGCAAGGATATGATGAACTTTTGTGTCCTGCTAATGGGAATAGCGCAGCTGCTATGGTAAACAGGATGGCAAGTCCTCAAAAAACATTACAATAGAATTACCATGTGATTCAGTACTTCCACGTCTGAGTATATGCCCAAAAGAAATGAAGTATTTGTACACCCATGTTCATGACAGCATTATTCACAATAGCCAAAAGGTAGCAGCAACACAAATGTCTATCAACCAATGAAAGGATAAACAAAGTGATATATATATATAGACATATTTTACATATGTGTATGTATAAATATATACATACACACACACACATACACACACACATATATAAAATATTCAGCCTTTAAAAGAAAGGAAATTTTGGCACATGCTATAACATGGATGAACTGTGAATACATTATGCTAAGCGAAGCAAGACAATAACAAAAAGACAACTACTGTATGATTCCACTCTATGTGAGGTACTTACAGTAGTCAAATTTATGGAGACAGAAGGTAGAATAGTGGTTTTCAGTGGCTGGGGGAGAGGAGAAGGGAGTTATTGTTTACTGGGTATAGAGTTTAACTTTTGCAAGGTGAAAAGAACTCTGGAATGAATGGTGGAGATGATAGTTGCACAACAATGTGAATGTATTTAATACCACTGTACACTTAAAAAGTAGTAAGATGATAAATTTCATGTTATGTATATTGTACTACAATGAAAAATAATTTTTAAAACTACAATGAGATGTCATTTTAACTTTATTGATAAAGATCACAAATTAAAAAACATACTGTATTGGCAAAAGTGATGTGAAAATAAGCACTGTCATGTTTTGTTGATTGGACATAAACATATAATCTTAGGGGAGAACAATTTTTCAATGTCTGTGAAGATTAAAGTTGCAGTTACCCTCTGACTCTAGGAAGATAGCTTACTTCCACATGTGTGATTTGACATATGATCAAGGTTTTTCATTGCAACAAAAGATGGGAAACAACCTAAATGTCCCTTGATGGAGCCTAGCAAAATAAATTATTACTATCCAATAGAATACAACCAAATAATAAACAACTGTTAGAATTAGGATACTCAGTATGGGGTGATACAGAACATTCTCCAAGGTAGGGTGGTAAGTTAGTAAAAGTATGTGTACTGTGCTACCAGCTGTTTAAAAATAAAATGAAAAAAATATGGGCCTATGTTTTTATTTTGTTTTGTCTAAAATAACTGCACGTAGAAGCAAGAAACTGTGAACAGGTAACAGTGATCATTCCAGTTATGTCTACAGGGAAAACTAGGCAGCTAGGGGACAGGGTTGGGACAGAGACTTGTTTACTCTTTCAGGGAATTTGACTATAAAAAAAAGAAACTGAAAGCAGTAGCAGAAGGAACTACTGTGAAGAAGGGAGAGGATGGTAAGCAATTTAGTACCATACGCAGGTATGATGTATTCAAAAATTTTTAATTAAAAAAGAGAGGTTATAACCTAGAAGGGAGAAAACAAATAGACACTTTTAGCCCAAAGCACTGTGCTGAGTGCTGTGGGGAACAGAGGAAGGGGATCTAACATAGCCCAAAGGGATCAGGGATGGCTTCTGGATGATCCACCCCAAGGAAGAAATTTCTGCTATTGGATCAGAAATAGTTGTGTATCTTTTCCTAAGTCTTGGTTTGTTTGTATTTTCTAAACAGATCTATTAATGAATTCACCAATTAGGTTTTCCTTTCACTTTGGCTGTTAAAAACTATAAGCCAAACCTGTGACCTGCACCATGCAGGGTGGGCAGATTTCTATGGTAAGCATTTAGCATTGGCCTTATACTTGGCTCCATTTTATATTCCTGCATTTGGTTTGCTCTTCACCTCTTTATTGTGTTGTTATCTTTCCTTATTCTATGCTTCCCTGTAAGCCACTCTGTAGCCTTTTTGGTCTCAGCTGGGGTAACTAGGTGAGTGCAGAAAGAGGAAGAAAGAGAAGATGGAGGTTTTAGAGCAATTCCTGTCATCTTCATTGGCTTTATCATGTAGATTAAGTGAATAGTGCCACTGTTCCCAAAGTGGGGTCCTCACACCAAGAGCATCAGCATCACCTGCGAGTTTGTTAGACATGGATTTCACCCAGCCTACTAAATTGCAACCATATCTGCTTTAACATACTCTCCCGGATGATTTTTATGCACATTAAAGTTTGAGAACCACAGGGAAACCAGAGGAACATTGATTCATGAACATGTACTTTCTGTTTGCTCCATCATACCCACTGTGTTGGCGAAGATGAGCAATAAACAATGCCAAAAATTTCATAGCTTAATGCAAGAAAAGTTTATTTTTTGCTCATGTCACAGTCCAGTATGAATCACCATAGGGTGGAGAGAGCTCTCTTGTTAATTTGTTCTGCAAACCAGCTTCCTTTCACAACGAATCTTTGCCATCCTCTACACTCTTAGACTCCTCTGGATGTTCTGCATTCAAGAAGCCAGGGAGGAAGGAAAGAGAAAAGATAAAGTGGCAGGTCTGAAAGCAACACCCAGTTTTTCTGCCCACAATTTCATTGGCAAGAACCTAATGACATGATCCTCTTAACTAAAGGGAAGGCTGGGAAATAGGGCCTATCTGTGGGATAGGAGGAAGAGGAGATAGCTTTGGTGAACACATAGCATAGTCTCTACCATACCCAGGGACCTAAGTGAATCTCAAACTTCACTTGTCATATTTGGTTTTCAGTTTAATTTTCTAACAATGTTTTATCTTTTCTTTTCTAACCCTAGCACTATGGGACTGAGTACCACTGTCTATGTGATGGCTCTCCTGCTCTCTGGTAAGCATCTTTGGCTTTTTAAAAGTCCTAGAATCCTTCTACTGTCCCCCAATGAGTCAGACCACTGTAAGCCCAGGCCTGAAACTTGGTGAGTTTTACTCATTTTCTATCTAGCGTCGAACACTATCACATTAAAAAAAAAAAGAAGAAAGGAAGGAAGGAAGGAAGGAAGGAAGGAAGGAAGGAAGGAAGGAAGGAAGGAAGGAAGGAAGGAAGGAAGGAAGAAAGAAAGAAAGAAAGAAAGAAAGAAAGAAAGAAAGAAAGAAAGAAAGAAAGAAAGAAAGAAAGAAAGAAAGAAAGAAAGAAAGAAAAAAGACTTTCGTAGAGAAGGAAACATCATGATTGAGAACAGGTATCTTGGCTGCTGACAGGCCTGGCCTGGGAGGGAGCCCTATCCCGTCTGTGCATCCTTCTCCTCTGCCGTCTCACAAAGTAGGGTAGACTGGCCTGTCCAGTGGCACCCATTGAGCAAGAAGGTCTCTGCTCTGACTCCCTGAGGCTTAACTCTTTTGTTCCATATATATCCGTTTCTGTTCTTCTTTGTTCCCATTTCTGGCATTCTCAGGCTTTTAGGAAACAGCTAATGGGCTTCTAAAAACCTCCTTTCATTAGGGAGCACTGCTTTTCTCATTCCCTACCTTCCCTCTCACCCTCCTCTATGTCCCCACATGCCCACACCCATAGATTGAAGTTGCCATTGCTTACTGGGAGGATCAAAAAATCCCAGCCCTGCTACTATCTACTTCAGTGACCTTTGGCTGATTGCATCAGCTATTTACTATGAAGTTCATGAAGCTAAGCTGCAGGGCTTCTCACTTACACAAGCCCCTCCAAGATTCCATGAGGGGTCCCAGCAGCATGGTCATGTGTCTTATGCTTTGGTAAAATTTTCAACAGTCAGATATTTTAACCACAACAGGTTGAGGCCACTACCTCTTTTTACTGCAACTTTTCTCACTGTTGCATCCTCCTCTGGTTGGGTGGTACTATAATGGGCATGGGCATTTGGTTTTTGAATTCTGCATTTCTTTTCTTAAAGAGCACCCCCTCCCCAAAAGAAAATAAAAGAATTTTAAAAGTGTCAGGCCTCATAGAACCTGGATCTTCCCTGCTTGCAGCTCCTCTCTGAGTCATTTTCTTCATCTGTTAATGGATTGGTAGAGGTTCCTCCTGCCACACATCCTGTGACTGGGTGCCTTTAGTTTCTCCTGTCCTGCTTCTTCCTGCTGCTCATTTACCCCACTCAACATTGAGAGGGAAGCCATCTTACACACACATCCTGGGGTGGAGAAGACAGGGAGGGTGAACTGAGCCTGCTGTTTGGCCACAACAGGATGCACGCTGCTCCTGACTCACCAGCCTGGCCATGAGTTCAGCTCTGGCTATAGTGGCTCTGGATCTCCTCAGCCACACTTGTGCAGACCCTCTTTGAATGTTTTCTATAGATGATTCAAATGGTTACTGACAGCAGCAAGTGGGGAAATAACTCACTGAGATAGAGGACAGGAAAGTTTAAAGGGGAGGGACAGAATATCTATTGCTATCTAAACAGCAGTGTCCAGCAGGCAGTTGGATATGGATATCTGGGATTATAGTAATCATTACTGACTGGAGAAAAGCATCTGTGAATTATTAATTTATATATTTGGCAGTCAAATCCATGCTTAGTAGTCCTTGTGATTTTTCCTTCTTTTACTAAAGTAGAAAATCCAGAGAGTATGTGGGCAGTAAGAAGATCAAGAGCAGGCACTCAAGATAATCAGTATTTAAGGAGTGATCGGAGAAAATTGACCAGGAGGTCAGAGATTGGGAAAGAATGAGTTTCAAGGAGCAATAGCCAACAGAGTGGTAAACATTCAATAGAGTGGTCAAATAAAATGGGGTCTGAAAAGAGCTCTGAATTTGGCAGTGATGAGAAGTCACTGACAATCTTTGCCAGGGAAGTTTCAGCAGAGAGGTGGGAGACAGAGGCTGCCTTACTCTTTCAGGGAGTTTGACTAGAAAAGAAAGAGAAACTAAAAGCAGCAGCAGAGGGAAATGCTGTGAAGGAGGGAGTGGGTGGTAAGCATGGTGAGCAGCTCAGAGGCCAAGTTGAGCAGGCAAGGGACTGAAGATTTGTAATGTCACCAGTTTGAATAATTGAAGAATTTCCTTCAGATATGTAGATCAAAAGTAGAGTGTTTTTGGAATGAATTTCACACAAAGAAGTAAACTTATTTAAGTTGCTGGCAAGAGAATGATTGAAAAGATATACTATCACTATGCTGTCCAATATGATAGCCACTAGCTTTATGTGGCTATTTAAATTAGTTAACATTAAATAAGATTAAATATTCAGTTTTCAGTCACTAGCTACACATCAAGTGCTCAATAGCTCATGGTAGTGGCTATTGACTTCCATATTGGTCAGCAGAGATACAGAGCATTTCCATTGCTGCAGGGGTCTTTTGAAAAGTACTGAACTATAGGGTCTAGACTGGATAGATGAAGTAAAAAACAGATACAGGTGAAGTAATTGAGCAAATCTTAGAGGAAGATATGTTGTGGACAGAGGTACATTGAGTTATAAGATTCCTGGAGCAGAGCCGTTCTTGGAGATAAGGTTCAGGGTTATGTCATAAGAGAGGAGCTGCTAACAGTTTGTGTATGAAGATCTTCAAAGTGGAAAAGTTCAAAGTATTTTCAGGCAAGTTTGTTGGTGAACTCATCCTTGCTGATGTCACCCAAAATCATAGTAATAATTGACTGAAAAAACTTTGAATCCAGTGCCAAAATGCTCAGTGAGCAAGGAAGTAATAACATTGCTGTTAGTGCCTAGCAGCAGTGAGAGACAGAAACCCCTTGAAGGGAAGGGCGTTGCTCAAGGTCTCTGTGAAGTAAAATGAAACAAGCAGTGGCTGGGGCAAGTGGCATCCTTTGGGTGGGGCCAGATTTTAATGAAGGCATAACTTTGGGGGAAACATTTGATGAAGAGGTGGAAGATGTAGTTTATTACAATGGAATGAAGCTTCCAGAGGGTAAAGCATGGGGCAAAAGTAGGCTTACAGTTGTGAGCCCATAAAACACAGATTATTCTTGTATTATTATTTATTAATTATTGTATTATTTTCTATACAAACAACTGTCAACCTACTTTTGCCACACCCTGTACAACACTGAAGGAAGGTTAGTAAAAAAAGGAAAATTCATGAGTACAGTTAAGTATAGTAACACTAGTGAGAGATGATCCTTGACTATATAAGACATGCATTTGTGGTAGTAGCCAGGGAAGAATGGAGTCCCAGATGGGGTCAGATACCCCACAAGGTTAGAAGACCATTGTTTTTGTGTGGCAGTCAAATAGTATATTGCTCAAGAAGTTCTCAAGTGTCCTTTGAAAGAAACTCCTTTAGCTGTTTAGGAAGGTTTCCGGATGGATTCTTGAGTGCCTAGCTCCTGATTGCATCATAGCAGCCAGTTATAACTAGACCCAGACCACATATCTAGTACCAAAGTGCTGGGGAAGGAGAGCATCTCAGTGCTTACCCACCAATGGAGCCCCAGTTAGTCTAGTAGCTGGGTGGTCTAGGGTCTGGTGTCATAACGGGTTGGGGGTGGGGGCCTGAAGCCTCTTAGGGAAAAGAGACCTTGAGTAAATCTTTCCCATATTGTCAGGGGATTAGCACACATAGCTCTAATGATGTCACGGAAGCCAGCAGTGGTGAGGAACTATGGAGTACAAATTGTGAAAGACTTTCAGTTCCACCCAGAATGGGCTTCAGAGTGATTTCCACCCCAGAGTAGAAGAGAGGGTTTAGAGGGAAACCAAGTGTTCCTGTCATTATCTCCTCTGCTTCTCTCTTAAGACAGAGGTCGAGGACTTCTATTGCAGCTTCTCAAACTGGAACTTTTGTTAAAATGCAGATTCTGACTCAGTAGGCATGGGTGGAGCCAGAGCTTCTGCATTTCTGAGCAGGCTTCCACAATGCCGATGCCTTTAGGACACAGACCACACGTTTGGTTGGTAGGTGAAGAGGGAGCAGTTAGATGGGTGGGAGAAAAAGCCCTTTTAATCTTTGGGTCAGAGAAGTTGGACCAGTCTAAGTGGAAAGAGTGAGTGGGAAGGAGAGAAGGTATGGTGAGGCTCAGCAGAGAAACCACCATAAATCAAGAAAGCCGAAGCCTAAGGCTGAGTCATTCCCAGGCCCAGAGGGCACAGCTGACTACTGAGCAATAACATAATGTTGGCTGCTAACTGGCAGAATTTCCAACTGTGTTTGCTCTCTCCATAACGTCATTTGCCCCATATTGTATGGCAAGTTACTAATACAGCCATAATCAGTTACCCCAGAGATAGCTGCTAGAAGCTTTTACAGTAGGTGGCACTCTTATCTTATTGTTCAGAGTTTAGCAAAGGAAGAACAGGAGCCTCAGGACATCTTCCTTATGTCCCCCATCACTGTTTCAGGTACCCAGGTAGATTTTTCCACTTCCCTCCAATGTGGGGCTATATCCTGTAGAGATGCTGCATTTTTATACTTTCAAGTGGTTCACAGGGTTCTAGTGAGCAGAATGTAATAGGCAGTGATTCAAATTTATGCCAGGTCTTGCTGGTGCCCAGAGTCCTCAAATTCAAGTCCACCTCCAACCCTCTTGATTATTTGTTCCCACTGGGGCAATCTGCACAGTTTAATTTTTCCAAGTGCGTGTCATTGTTACTTGTCCTTCTACTTTCTCTTAGAAGAAAAACCCATTGATAAGATCAATTTAACTTCTCCTACTACCCCTCACTGAACATGTCAAATGAAACTCCTCTCATCTCTCACCAACCTACCCCCCTTTCCTCCTTAATGAAGTTTTGAATGATGAAGATTCATTTAGAACCCTTCCTAACTTTCTCCCCAAGGTGGCATCTAACTTGGTATTAACTAAGAAACAGCATTTCCCCCCAACCATACACTTCTCACCGACCACTAATATTTTGGCCAAGTCTCAAGTAATTCTGTGACCCAGAATGAGTCCTACGAAAACCCTATAAGTGATGACATTTTTTAAAATTTTTATTTTTTAATTACTGTTTATATTCAATGTTATTTTGTATTAGTTTCAAGTCTATAGCATTGTGGTCAGATGATAATATACTTTACAATGTTTTCCTGATATTTCAGATATCCCCCTGGCACCATACGTAGTTATTACAATATATGAGGTGGGACCCAAAAAAACCTGAATTATCTTCTGGAGAGTAGGCCCCTTGCAGTACAGGCTCCCCTGACTAGGTGAATGTTCTAGGAATCAGTCTCTATCAGTGTACCAGCAGCTGTTGTTGTGAGAGTCTGGATTCAGCTTCAGTGAATTTTTTTTGAAGACTCTTTCAATGTGTTTGTCCATTTCATGATGGGTAATTTACAAGCACACCTGCCCCCACTGGGCTAAGCATTGAGCACTTTTTGACCAAAAACAACATTACTCCCATGCCACACCTTTCCAGTCACCCCATTTCACCACCAGCAACTTTTTTTGTACCCCTGGATGAAAAAAAGTCCTCAAAGGGAAATGTTTTGCCGTTGTGGAAGAAGTGAAACAAAAAACAGCAGAAGCACTAAAAGGCATCGAAATCAATGAGTTCAAAAAACTGTTTTGAGCAGTGGAAAAAACGTCTTAATAGGTGTATTGCATCAAATGGAGAGTACTTTGAAGGTGACTGAAGTATAAACATACAAATAAATGCATTTTTTATAAATAAAATTTATATAAATTCCAGGGTATTTTGGGGTCCCCCCTTGTATAATTAATTGCATTTAAGGAGTTAAGTAGCCAAAATCCCTTCCACAAACTTCAATATGTCCTTGGAGATGAAAGCCTTCCTTTGAACTCTCCCAGCCTGTTCTCCAGGGGTTGTAAAAATTCCCAGGGCAATGTATACAGGCAAGAGCAAGTTTATGGTGATTGGGATTTCCCAAATACTCCAAGAGCACATGTTCACCTTCCAATCTCTGATTCATTTCCAGCATTTCATTCATGTACCTAAAATGGTCTCTGACCACCACAATGCCCTAATAACCGTGATATTAGCCCAGTTCTCTTTCTGATCCCTGAAAGAGCTTAGAGTGGTCACTGGGTCTTGGCACTGGGCCATATCCTTGAGAAAGTTGGCTATGGAAACTGCAGTCATGAGTGAAGCTCTGTAGAGGGAACTATTTGAATCTGAAGGCTGCTACTCAATGTGACCTCCAGCTATTGAGGCATAATGAAGTGGGGGTATCAAATTGTTACCATTATCAGAAATCTTGTCACTATAGCAGGCTAAGGAATAAGGGGATGGGGTAGGAAAGGGAGAGCTTTTGGTGATGATCTAGAAGTAATGGAGCCTGTAGCAGCTGCAGAGAATCAATGTTCAGGTTATAAGAAGGTAACAAGATAGGTGAATGAGTTGTCCAACTACTGGTTTTCTTTGTTCTGGGATTTAAATTTACAGACCCATAGTACTGGGAAGATCCTTAGAACATTTGGTTCACCCTTTCATTAAACAGGCAAGGAAACTGAGCCTCATAGCAGTTGCAGTTTACACAAGGCCACACCCATTTAGTTATCAGCAGAGTAAGAAGTCCTAACTTCCAGATGCCAATGTGTATGCATAGCTCCAGAGTTCAATATCTAGATCTTTGATCTTATTACTAACAAGATAGCATCTGAGTATTGTATAAAGAGAAATGGAGTAGTTGTTCTTGTTCTCCCCTCCCTCTTGCTTCTTCTTCCCCAATCTGCACCTTTTCTTTTTTAGGTGCTGCTTCCATGAAGAATCAAGCATATTTCAACGAGACTGGAGATCTCCCATGCCACTTTACAAACCCTCAAAACATAAGCCTGGGCGAGCTGGTAGTATTTTGGCAGAACCAGGATAAGTTGGTTCTGTATGAGCTCTTCAGAGGCAAAGAAAACCCTGAGAATGTTGATCCCAATTACAAGGGCCGTACAAGCTTGGACCAGGATAATTGGACACTGAGACTCCACAATGTTCAGATCAAAGACCAGGGCTTGTATCAGTGTTTCGTCCATCGCAAAGGGACCGGAGGAATGGTTCCCATCCACCAAATGAGTACTGACCTGTCAGTTATTGGTATGTTGTCAACAGCATATTCTGATACCTGAACTTCTAGATGAGACTGTAGTGAGCAGAGAAACATTGGTGGGGAACAGGGGGGTGACCTGTAGAGAGAAGGCACGGGACAGCCATTTCTGGAAAGTCTATTTGAAGGTAATGCAGGGTTTGAGAGCAGGAAACCAGAAGTCCTTTGTACTTTTTATAGTTTGCTTCTGAAGGATCAATAAATATCTGCTTTGGGGACAAAACAGAGCTAACTGACAATGGTAATGTGGCTAAGTAAAAACCGTGGGTGATTTGGCCATTACTAAGTTTATATAACCATATTGGCCTCAGATCTCTTATATGTTCATTTTCTCCTTTGGTCCAAGATTTCTCACCCACAGAATCTTTGCCTGGAGTCCCTAATGAGGGTCATGGCTAACTAATTTGGGTTTTCCCTTCAGCCTTCCGGAGGTTGCTTATGAGTTGTTTGCTGCCCAACCATGAGCCTGGTAGACAGAAGGGAAATAACCTAATGCACATAGTCTAAAAACTGGCAAACCAACTCCTTTGTTTCTCCAGGCCTTGAAAAGCCTAAATGTTACAATGGATTTCTAATAATTATAATACAGTAAAATTAATTATTTTATCTTTGGTATACAGTCCTATTAACTTTATGTATAAATTTTGTAACCACTACTCTAAAAAGGATATAAAACATTTCCATCACCCTAAAAACATTTCCTCATCCTATCCCTTTATAATCATGCCCCTACCATATCCGTAACTCCTGTTTTGCATCCTATAGACATGTGCTTTTAAGAACATTGTGTAAATGGAGCCATTGTGTGTGTGTGTGTGTGTGTGTGTGTGTGTGTGTGTGTGTGTATTTTAAGACTTGCTTCTTTTATTCAATATAATGTCTCTCAGATTTTCAAGTCATTACATGCACCAAAAGTCTATTTCTTCTGATCACTGAGTAGCATTCTATTATTTATACCCATTCAAGCCATGAAAAGACATTGGGTGGTTTCCAATTTGGAGATGTTATGAGTAGAGCTACTCTAAACATTCATGTACAAGTCTGTGTGTGAATATAAGTTTTCATTTCTCTAGGAGAGCTACCCAGGTATGGCATTACTAGATACAGGTTAATTTTTGATGAACTTAGAAAAGGCAGATAAACACCAATTCTGAAACCAAAGAGTGAAACAGATGTAAAAATAGAAATAGAATAGGAAGTTGCTCCCTTTAAGCCCTGTGTGATTCAAAGCTGACGCAGGGCTTTGGGAGCATTTAACAAAGTGCTAAATAAATGTTTTCAAAGTGCAGCAAGGTACTGTAGAAAAATGTGGTGTGTTTCAGGTAGGACATAGACAATCAGTTTTAAAAATTTTTAGTGGTTTTATATTTACTTTTTCTTAAATCATGTTAATTCTGTTACAGTTGTCTCAATTTTTTCTCCCTTTGCCCTCCTCCACCCATCCCACTACCCCCAACCCCTGCTCACACAGTCAATTCCCATACTGCTATCCATGTCCATGGGTCATTCATACATGTTCTTTTTCTTCCCCTTCTTTCCATCATTGTCCTCCTTCCCCATCCCCTCTGGTCACTTTCAGTCTGCTCCATGTTTCCATGCCTATGGTTTATTTTGTTCGTTAGTTTATTTTGTTGAATAGATTTGACTCATAGGTGAAATCATGTGGCATTTGCTTTTCACCTACTGGCTTATTTCACTGAAAATAGTATTCTCCAGTTCTATCCAGGATGTCACAAAAGGTAGGAGTTCCTTCTTTCTTTTTCGTTTTCTAAAATGCAGATTGATTTTATTTTTTAAATGTCAAAATCCATGATCAAATATTAAAAAACTTAAATCCATTACAAAATCTTAGCAATTAAAACAACATGACACCAGCACAGAAATAATCAAGTAGATCAATGAAATAAAATGAGCTTCTAGAAACAAACGTATGTATCTGTTTAACAATGTAATATATGATTAAACTGATATTTCAAATCAATGGGAAAAATAAGACTTATTCAACAAATAAAGTACATGGACCACTATTACTTGAAAAAAAAGAAATATAGAGCCGTATTTCACACATTATACAAAAAAATATTCAGGTGAGTTAAAAATCAATATGTAAAATCTAAGTAGTTTTAGGAGAAAATACAAAATAATATTTTTCTTACCCTGAAGTAAATTACTCAAATCCAGAGGCTATAAAGTAAAAAAAATGACAATACAACTATATTAAACATTTAAGACTATATAGTAATATACATATAAAAGAAGTTAAAGGACAAGTAATAGAATAGGAAAGAATTTGCCACACATCTAAAAGAGGATTAATAGTTTTTTTCAGGGAAAAAATTCTACATTTAATCAAAAAATTGATAAAGAATACTAAAAAGTCACTTAAAGCATTTTAAAAATAATAGAAATACACAAGAAATATACTAAAACAGGCTTAGTTTCAACAAATAATAAACAAAATAACACATCGTTGTCACAATCAGATTAAAAAGTATTAAAAATATTGGTAATATCAAGTATTGGTGACTGTGAAAGGAACTAGGTATTCATAGACTTTTTCTTCATCTTCTTAAAGCAAGTCCCTTTAGCATATCTTGCAGTGCTGGTTTGGTGGAGGTGAATTCTTTTAGCCTTCTTTTGTCCGGGAAACTCCTTATTTCACCTTCCATTTTAATTGAGAGCTGGGTAGAACAGTCTTGGTTGCAGGCCTTTGCTTTTCTTGACTCGGAATACTTCTTGCCTTTCCCTTCTGGCTTGTAGTGTTTCTGTTGAGAAGTCAGCCGTATCTGTATCGGGGCTGGCTTGTATGTTACGACCTGTTTCTCCCTTTCTGCCTTTAGGATTCTCTGTTTGTCTTTGATATTTGCCATTTTAATGATGATGTGTCTTGGAGTGGGCCTCATTGGGTTCCTCTTGAATGGGACCCTCTGTGCTTCCTGGACTTGTGTGACTTTTTCTCTCCTCCAATTAGGGAAGTTTTCCATCATTACTTTTTCAAACAGGTTCTCTATCCCTTCCTCCTCTTCTTCTTCTTGTATCCCTATTATACAAACATTATTGTGTTTCAGGTTGTCCTGCATTTCCCTCAATGCCTCTTCATTCTTTTTGAGTCTTTTTTCATTTTATTGCTCTTTCTGGGAGCTTTTTCCTACCTTATCCTCCAGCTCTCTGATTCGATCCTTGGCTTTATCTAGCCGGCTCTTGATTCCTTCTACTGTCTTCTTCAATTCAGAAATTGTATTCTTCATTTCTTCTTGCCTCTTACTGAGAGTTTCTATGTCCTTTTTCATGTTGCTATAGTTTGCAGTAATTTCCTCATAGTTTCCCTGTAGTTTTTTGTAATTCTCTCTGAGCTCACTGAGCTCATTGAGCTTCCTTAGAACCATTGTTTTGAGCTCAGTAACTGATATTTGACTTGCCTCTATTTCATTTAGTTCTCCTTCTGGGGATTCCTCCTTTGCCTTTGACTGAGAGTTGTTTTGTTTTCTTCCCATTATTTGTGAAAATTCTTTTTTGCTTCTGCTTCTTAAATTGATCTGTCTTGATTTCCTGACTTTGTGGTGTGAATGTCTTGGTAGGAGACAACTGTTTTTTCTTTCTGGATCTGCCTCTGAGGAGGTCAGGTGTTGACCCTGTTTAGCCTTAGGTAGTCTGTTCAAGACTTCCAGCAATCTACTGTCTGTGGCTGTCTTTTTCAGCTGTTAATCTAGTCACTGTGCACTCAGGAGTCAGGCTTCGGCAGCACAGGGCTGAGCAGAGTTTCTCCTAGAGGTGGGGTTTCTGGGTCCTCTCACACTGCTGCCACTCAGGGGAGTGGTCTGCCTGAGCAAGATGGCTGCTGCTGTATGGGAGATGAGTCAGCCTCGGGATCTCGCTGGCTACTCTCTCAGTTCTCTCCCCAAAGCCTTCTTCCCCAGTCTCTCCGTAGGCATCTAGCCCACTCTGTCCCCACCTTTGCTGGAGACCAGGGTAAGTGGCTGCAAATAAAAATTTATGTCTTGGCCCTTTAAAAGACTCTTTGTGTCCCCAGCTGCCTGTCTCTGGCAGAGAGCAACCCTTCTGCTTTTCACAGCTGGTTGTTATCTGTATACTTTTTGGTCTCTGGTGCTGTGGGCTGGAGATCCCCACTTTTGGTTTAGACCCCACTCTTCTCAGGGATATCCAAATGGCCATTTCTATATCCTTCTGGTGTTGCTGCCTGTGGGCACCCCACCCGTCTTCTTGAGTCTCTATTGTCCTCCTTACCAGTTAGGTTGTGCTACAGCTGATTCTTCTGTCTGTCCGAGGTTATACAGCTCATTTCTTGCTATTGTGCAGTTGTTTGTTCCAGGTGATTTCTCCACAATTTAGTTGTAATTCCAGACTGGTTCTAGGAAGAGGTCAGAGTGACTTTCATTCAGGCCTCCACCATCTTGATTCTATATTTACTTTAATATGTATTAGAAAAACTATAATTAACTTATAGAACCTGTGATTTCACAGATATTGCTAATAAGGCTACAGTAGTTACTACCATGGCAATCCACCTACAGACCACAGAAGATTACAAGCAGAATGTTTAAGTAGTGTGTTGATATAGCAAAACTTATTCATGTGGCATGCAAACCACTCAAGTTTCCAAAGCAATATACTAAATTATACATTAGTATGTAGAACCTGAAAATGACCTAGTAACTCTGGGAGGAGACTAAGGTGTTTGGCTAGCAAAGGAACTAGATGCCAGTGCTCCTCAACAGCCATAAAATTCTGAATGGCAAACAAGGCAACAGGAGCTCTGTCATGCCCCAAACCAGTATTCTGAATATCTAAAACCAAAATCCCCATCTACTCACATACTGGCATCCTGTGAGGGTTTCTAGAAGATAAGACCTAGAGCATGCCCATAATATGAAATCTGTTGGTTCCTGGGGGAACTTTAGCCTCAGTCCCTTTCTGTCCTCTTGGTCTGGCCACCTGGAATGTACCACATGGGACACTTGAGTCCTAAAGTCAGACCGCTTCTCCTTCCAGACTTTATTTCTTAGAGAAGTGGCCTCATTATAAATCTTTGATAACTAAAATTCAGCCCTCCTATCACTCAGACAGCATCCCCTTGATTTCGGTAAGCAGGAATTAAGCATGGCCCTGGATTCCATTCTTAAAAAAATAAATGTAAGGCAATAATGTGGCTCTCACCATGGGCTAAGGACCACAATTTAGACACCCTGAGTCTCCCAGGTATGCCCTCAGAGTTCCCAGATCAGGTATGCCCCTAGAGTTCCCAGATCAGAGTTCCTAGTCATTTGCTATTTTTTTCCAAATGCAATTTAGACTGACTGTTCTCTCTTTTTTGTATCTCTACTTGCTTTCAGCTAACTTCAGTCAACCTGAAATAATGCTAACTTCTAACAGAACAGAAAATTCTGACATCATAAATTTGACCTGCTCATCTTCACAAGGCTACCCAGAACCTAAGAAGATGTTTTTTCAGCTAACAACCGTGAATTCAACTACTGAGTATGATGCTGCCATGAGTATATTTCAAAATGATATCACAGGATTATACAGTGTTTCTATCAGCTTGTCCTTTCCAATATCTCCTGGAATGAATGTGAGCATCTTTTGTCTCCTGCAACCTGAGCCAACACAGACACAGCTTCTCTCCCTACCATACAAAATAGGTAAAGTGCCTTCCCAAGACTATTTCTTTTATCGGGTATGATACACAAATGGTTATGGCAGACCATCCAATGTCCCTTGCTTGCCAGGAAACCTCCGTCTGAGCTCTTTTATACTCAGCGGGCTCCTGCTTCATCTGAGTGCTGCAGGGTCAGGAGGCTATAACCTTGTGCTGCATTTGAGGAAGCATGCACTTAAGCCTTAAAACTGACCCGCTCTTTTGGACAATTTTGGATAGACCATTCTGAAGTTTAGGTCAGAAAATGCAGGATTCCACCAGGCTAGAACTCTACCATTCATTAAAACACACAAACACATACCCCTGCATGCTACATCCATATAGCATTTGTTATGAGTATAGAACCATTCTAGACATTGTTGGTTGCAGGGATGAAAACAAAGGTATAAGACATGCTCTCTGCCCTTAAGGACCTTCAAATAGAATTAGATTGTCATGTGATGCCCACACATGAAAATCTGGATTTTGAAAAGATTGGATTGGAATCTAAATTATATTCCATGGAAATAAACTATAAATTTAAAAACAAGAGTGACTCTAATTAGGTTTATAGGCAATCAGACATAGGCAAGTTCTTGAAGGCGAGGGAAGTCTTTCTAAAGGAAGTGGAATCTTATAATAAAATAAATAATTGGACTTAGTGAGTGTGGTGAGGTAATGATGGTGGCTTCTTGAACAGGAAAAGTTCCGAGACAGCATTCAGGCTTAGAAAGTGAGAGGACTGTGATTGATTAGCAGTTTCCAATGTTGGCACAAATGATAATGGTGGACCTCAGCACATGTGTTAAGAAAAGATTCAGAAGCAGTAATTTTTGTGGCATATTGACACTTTTGTGTGGAGACCAGTCCAGCTGGAGCAAAGGGTCCACTAATAGGAACCTGCTATTTTAAAGTCACATCTTTGCCCCTGAGGGAATGCATCTGTATTTGAAACCCCACTTTTGAGGAGCAGTAACTGCAAGATTCTTTCCTGTAGTAAAGAAGCTCTTCTCCCAGACTCTCTCCATCACTGCTTGTTCTGATCCTTACCACACTGCCCCCCTCCATCTATCTGCCTTCTGCTTGTCTTGGCCCCTTCTCCAGTTCTGGCCCCTTGCTTTGTCCCCTTCTAAGTGATCCTTCCAACTCCTTGCTTCATCCTCAGGCTTTGCTGCCTTTTCTCTCTTGATGTCCCATTGTTAAAACATATTTGACCTGTGGACACGTTCTTATGGGCAGTCCCTGAGACCAGTTCCTACCAGCCAACTTTACCAGTGGGCCTATTCTTTCTCCCTGTACTGATTTCCTCCACTCAAACACTGTTGCCTCTGAGAATCCAGTAAATGGGGAGGCTACCCAGCCCATCCGGGTTGCTTCTACTGTAGCCTGATAGAGACCTCTCCCAAGCGATCCCAAGATCAGTGCCTTCTTGGAGCCACAAACATCACCACACATGGCATGCCTTGGGCCCTCTGCCATGGTTTCCACAGTCAACAGTTGAATAGGGCCTTGCCACAACTATAACCTCAACATGACTCACCTTTCTGCTGCTTTTCAGCTACTGCTTTAGAAGTGTTTCAGTTCTAGCAGCGTCAGGAAGATGGGGCTTGCCTCTCTGTGTCCCTTTCTATGGTTGATCAGAGATAGGTTAGACTCTAAGTCAAGGAACATTTTGGGTGTTAAAAGGTAGCAGTCTCCACATTAACAAGTATGACCCCCCCTTTACTGGAAATGCCAAACAGGCATCAAGTGGGATGAACTGGGACAGACTCAAAAAGTGTTGAATAAGGCTTGCAATAACTCCTCTTTTTTATGGGTCCAGGAGAAGGCCATGGGTCCACAAATTGCAGCTAAGCTAATGGGAGGTCAGCTCGCTGTATTTTCCTGTAATTTAGAATTAACTACCAGAACTATTTCCATAAATGTTTATAAAGTGGGCTACTCAGTTCTAAAATTTTCCCCTAAAGCCTATGTTTCAACATCCTAAGAACTTGTGAGTTTCTGTGCAAGAAAGTAAGTCTTAACCTCCCAGGAGCTGATTCTGGCCCCGATTCCTTAGGGCATGAAGAGAAAGTTTTTCTAGTGGGTGAAGCATGCTGACAGCTGTGTCTGGAGAAATCTATTGTGACCTCAACGTGAAAAACAAACAAACAAAACTGGATGTGGGAGGTCTGTGAGGAGGTTGTAATATTTGTCCAGATGAGAGGTGTCTAGAGCCTGATATAGAGATGATAGTGGATGGAGGTATTGTTGCAAAGGAAACTTCAAGGCCTGGGGCCCGACTATACATGGGGCTGAGGAAGCAGAGCATCACATAGATGACTGTACATTCAGAATCTTGGCACAAGTAACTTACCCAGATTCCAGAACCAAGGTCCAGGTTGACCTCTTCTAGTCATAGTCACTGTCATCCTAGCCACCAGGAAGTAAGGGAGCTCAGTCCAGGCATTTGGCCAGAGTTGCTGGCTTCGTTCTTAGTTAGCTGTTGAAGGCCTGGAGACTGCATATTGCATATATTGCCTCATATTGCATATTTCTAGCTCCTCTGGCAGTAGAGCCCTGGGGAGAAGCTAGCATGTAAATAAGAAAAGAGCAGTAATTATAAATCTTTTCTTTTTAAATTTTTTATTGTATATACATTTCAATAGTTTACTTTTTATTGTGTTTTTTCCATCGCCACTTCTCCCCCTTATACCCTCTCCGACTTCCACCCCTCCTCCCCTGCCCTCTCACGGTCACCACACTGTTGCCCGTGTCCATGACTAAACCTTTTGTAATCAACTTTCCTGGCTCATCGAAAACTTATGGTCATTTTTAGATGCAAAGCCACCACCCCCGGCTGTCACAAACTATGCCATCGTGATTGTAGCTGTACTTGTATCATGCATCTGTTTGTGTGTGCCGGTGCTCCATCTAATACTAAAGAGAAGGAAGAAGAAGCAGCCTGGCCCCTCTCACGAATGTGGTGAGTCAGTGTGTGTCCTCTCTGCAGAGTGGCACTTAGCAGCTACTTCTCTTTCTGCCGCCTCCTGGAGCTCCTCGGCTGAGCACAGAAAGGCAAAATGCCAGCAGGTGGTTGGAGGAAAAGGTTTCCCCTCAGGATTTGGAACCCATGTAGATGGGACTCAACAACTGATAGTGTTGCTATGGATTTCTAGAAAAGGCAACATTTCTAGCCTCAGGTTTACTATGTACTTCTGGTTTCCAGAAAAAGCAGATTATTTCTTGCTTTACTCACCTCCCTTCATAGGGTTACTGTCAGAATTCAATGAAGTGAAATGGTGAAAACACTTCTAAATGTTAGTGGTTATAGACCTGGTGGTGGTGTTCAAGCAGAGATGTTTTGTGGGAGTAGAGGAGCATTAGATAACCATCAGATTTGTTTTCTCATCTCTAAAATAGGTTTCCTGAGAGGTCAGATGAGTTGTTCCCCACTGAATTTTAAAAATATTAACTTTTATTCATTACCAAGCATTACCTATGCATTACTAACTATACTGGAAAAGATCACCTGTAGTTCCATAAGTAAGAAAAATATTATTATCTCTACAACATTTTAGTGTAAATCTATGTTATTTTCCAGAAGTGGGTTAATATTATAAGGACTGTTTTTTTTACAATTAGGATAACCCCACATGGTTTTGAACTTTTTTGTACTAAAAGTAGAAAGAAAATATTCAATGTTATTAAATGGCTGCAAGGTAGTCCATTATGTGGATATACCTTGTTTTATTTAACCAACTCCATATTGTTAGACACTTGGGTTGTTCCCACACTTTTTGCTATGGTAAACTGCACTGCATTCAGCAGCCTCCCCATATCTGTTTTGAAAGTGGCCTATGTTCATTGGGAAAAGGTGATTCCGGACTTTAGAATAATCCCTGTATGTGGTGTGGGCTGGTTTGGGCAAAGTTGTAAGGTAAAGTTGGGCTTTATCTCAGTAGTTGCCTCTAGTAGAAGTTTGGTTAGTGTTAATAACTAAGATAACTTTACTCACTTATGGTAAAAAGAATAATGCTTCTGGTCAGTATCTTATTTAAGATTCCAGTGTACTGATTTTAAGATCTATCTAGAAAATAGATAAATGACATCAATAGTCATTCATTTCATCTTGCTATTTTGTAAAGACTTTATTTATGTATTTATGTGTTTATTATTTTTAGAGAGAGGGGAAGGAGGGAGTAAGAGAGGGAGAGAAACATCGATGTATGAGGGAAACATTGATTGGTTAACTCTGGCACATGCTCCAACCAGACCTGGCTTGCAACCCAGGCATGTGCCCCAACCAGGAATTGAACCAGTGACCTTTCCCTTTATGGGATGATGCTCAACCAACTGAACCACACCAGTCAGTGCATCTTACTGTATTTTAAAAACAGGAAATTGGGAAGTGATTATCCAATTTCAATAAATTAACACAAAGCATATGGCAAAACAATTCAAACTGCTAAAGTAGGGGGTGCACTGAAAGATTACTATGATATAGAGGTGTAAAATTCAGTGCACAGGATCAGATGTTTGGATATATTGTGCTTGCCCAGGCTTTGACTTTTCAAGGTGAGAGTTTTGAGCTTCTCTTTCATTTAATTTCATTGGCTTTATCATTGGCTAACTGTACAGAAGCAACCTTCAGTTTGGGAATAAGCTGTCTCCTAAATTTGCTTTCACATTGGAATAATTAGCTTACAAGTGAAACAAAGAAGAAGGAATAGGAAAAAAGAGAATAAGAATGTTTCTCCCCTCAAGAGACAATCAGGAAAACTTAGGAGAGTAGATATGGTAGTTATCTATATAGAGCATGTGTGTATACATATGAGTACATGTGAGATGGTCAAATTGAGCTATGAATGGTAAAAGGCAGAAGACAACAAAAGAGCACAGCACATATATGACCCCTCCAAGAATGTGATAAAAAGCACTGGTAGGGAAATGTTGTTTGGTTAGTCACCTGTGCCAGCAAGTTTGATGAAAGAGAAGAGCTTGATATCTCTGGAGGAAGGGAGATGTACCAAACAACTACGACATGTAGATATAAGGTATTTGTAAATTTGGCTTCAGCAATGTCTGCACTTGCTTTTTGGATATCTCTAACATTGGCTATATGATAAACAGAATAACAAGGTGTCTACCTCTTATACCCCAGAATTTAGAATATTTTCTTATGTGGCAAAGGGGACTTTTCATATGTGATTAAGATACTGACCTTAAGATGATTAAATTATCCTGGATTATTCAGGTAGACCCAATCTAATCACATGAGTCAGAGAACCTTCCCCAGCATGGTTAGAAAAATGAGATGGAAGGAGGAGAGATCCAAAGCTTAAAACAGGCTCAACTCATCATTGCTGGCTTTGAAGATGGTGGAAGGAGCCATGAGCCAAGAAATGTAGGCAACCTCTAGAAGCTGGGAATGATCCTCAGCTGAGAGCCAGCAAAGGAATGGAGACTTCTGTCCTACATCCACAAGGAACTAAGTTTTCCAACAGACAGGCATCAAAGCAGTCATGATTCATCCACAAGCTTACTGATAACGTGTAGGAATTTCCCCAAGAGTGGAGCTTCCTCCTAATTCAATATTATCCTTTCCTCAGAGGAGACAGCCCTCAAACTAACGTGGCATCAAAAGTCCTTTCCAGTGTTTGTTCCTAATTATAGTGCTTTTTCCCTCAACCACATATATTTACCCTGTTTAGCGTAAGTTAATAAAAGGGAAATGCCATGGTTATTCTAGTTGGTTTCTAATCTCTTTCCTTCTCCTCCCCCTCTCCCTCCTCCTCCCCTCCCTCTCCCCCTCCCCCTCTGTCTCTCTGATATTTTGTCAAATAAGGCACCTAAGGTATGAGAAATTCTCATTTTGAATTACTGCCTTTTCCCAATCAAAAGCTACCCTGCCAGCTTACCCACTGGGGAGAAAGACTAAAATAGCTCCTTCTGAAGTTTTGCTTCCTCATTTGGATTTTGTGCAACTGAAATCTGTATGTAATAGTGGCCTAGCAATCAACAGTTTTTATTTCAGTTTGCCTTCATCCACCAAACCTTAATAAGTCTCAGCTTTTTCAGAAATGATTTTTTAAAGGGCAAGTGTATTTTCCAAAATAAATCATTTTAATCACCATTTAAATAGAAACCTTCACAGAGCTTAAAAAGGCTTAAAAACTGAAAGTTGATGATATCATCACATCTGCCCTTAAAAGTGCTAAATTTATAATCAAATCCAAAAGGTTAAAAGTCTGTTTTTATTGTCTGCTTTTGCTTTAAAATAGAAGTGTTTTTTTTTTCCAATGGTAATGATTTTATCATGGGTATAAAAGGATAATTTAATTATTTTGTATCGGTCTAAGATATCTGAAATACTGTATTCAGGTATAAGCACCATTATTTTTCAGAGGAACTTCGGCAAAATTGGAACCTAACCAGATTTTTTGTGTCTGCAACTCAGTCAAACAAACAATAGCTCAAGTAACCAAAGGTGCTTAGTCAGAAAAAAAAAAAAAAGAATAAAAAACCTTAGCGATGACACAAGTACTGCCTACAAATATCTGAAGAGCTTCCATAGGGCACAAAGATCATATTCAACTGTGGCTCCAAATGGTGGTATAGTCATACAATGAAATAGTGCCAAACTATGGAAAGGAATGGACTACTGGTAACATACCACAAAATGGAGGAATGTCAAAAGTATTATGTATGCTGAGTGAAAGCCTCCAGACAGAAAAAGACTACGTATTATATGATCTTCCTTATAGGAAATTCTAGAAAAAACAAAACTCTTGTGACATTAAGCAGAACAGTAGTTACCAGGGGATGAGGTGTAGGGGAAAGGGGCAAGAGGGAACTTTGGGGGCTTATACAAACATTCTATATCTTGGTTATGGTGGTAGCTACATGACTGCATGCATATTGTAAACTCACCAAAATCTGTATGAAAAGTGATTGGATTTTACTGTATATACCTCAGTAACACTGGTTATTGTTCAACCCGGTGTGCACGCATGCACATGTGCGCACGCACACACACACAAGATCTGTCAATGATAGGAAGTGTTCAAAACCATCAGGGGAGCTGTTGAAAAGATTCCTGTCATCCCTAAATTCCTCCATAGACACCCAGGTTAACAGCCCCTGCTGTAAGGTTCTGAGTGGAACAACAGCACTGTCAGGACATTCACCCCACAGTGCACCAGTAGTAAGGCCATACCAGTAGCAACTCCATACCAGTAGCAACTCAGGCTTTGGGAGGTCCAGGAGATAGAGCTTTCCCACCTGGGCCACTACCACCGTGCAAGCTGGCTAACCCATTTCGGCATCATCATCTTCAAGATTTCCTTTTCCTCTCAAATCTCACATTCAGAAAAAGATTGGAAACTCTTCTGATCACTAAATGATTGCTAAAATGAAATGTGTTACCCTTACCACTAATATTTTTACTTTAGCAAAGGGTAAAGTTATAAGTGAAAATCCTATTTCCAGCATTAGATCTTAAGGTACAGTGAGCAAATGAAGGCATTTATTTTTTGGATGCAAGGAGCTCCCTCTCCGTCCCCCTGGAATTACATAAAGTAACCATCAATTTCACATGTAAGGCTACAATGATTTTTCTCTGAGTCCTAGGACTTTGGAGCCTGTCCAAACTTTCCATCTTTTAGTATCAATGGGCAATGCATTTTCTGAGGTTGTTTACTCTCTTTCAGAAGCCATCAAAATGGAAGGGGAAGAGAGTAAACAGACCAAGACGAGGTGAGTCCTCACCCTACAACATTGTTGAAAGAGGTCTGGTTCCCAGAGGGTCTATAACTTGAATAGGCTTAAATCTGAGGCATGCTAAGACTACCAGCAAACATGAACTAATGGAGAGGGAAAGGAGATTGAGACGAGTAGGACCTGGGGGAAAATGTCCTAGTTGTAAATGGATGGCAGTTATCTAATACACAATGCTCAGTCATGGCCAAGTAAACTCTCAGTACAAAGGGGTTTGATGTGGTGAGCATGGGCTGCAACTTATTCACAGTGGTAACCCCAGTACCTAGGAAGGTACCTGGACTAGTGGGTTACCTACCTGTGTGAATACATGAGTAAGTGAGGAATGATAATATGTTCCATTTAGCTTCTGTGCCTTTGGATCTGCTGTGCCCTCTGTTTGGAATATTCTTCTGCCACTTCTTTACTTCATTTTTTAGATCTTGGTTCAAGCAACACTTTCTTAGAAACCCTTCCCAAACTAGATTATGTCAGCCTATTATAATGTCATGTGGATTCTTGTCCTTTTTCTTTATAACACCAAGTATACTAACAAAAAATATGTGTAATTGTCTTATTAAACTATAAATTGAACTAAACTAAACTATATAAAGGGCAGAAATCATCAGTTAAGCTTATCATTGTGCTGCCAGCATCCAACACAGTGCCTGGCATAGGTGGGTGCTCAATAAATATGTGTCGAAAGATTGAATGTATGCATGAAGGAATGAATGAAGATTCCTGGTGATCAGTCCTTTCACAATGTGATGTAACCAGATTGTCCATGCTTCCATCCCCCCTTGAGGAACGGAGCTTTTTAAGAATAACGAGGCTCTCTCTGGATGCATCTTTGTGGAGTCAAAGCAACCCTCAGCAAAAAACCTGATCACAAAGACATAGTTATGATGCTAGGGTGCATGGGACCCAGAGTGCCCAGCACTTATCTGGATACACCAGCCACTGTGAGTCCAGGGATCCTGGTGATGAGCCAGGGTGCTGAGATCTTGCCTGCCCTGTAAGACTCAGTTCAGAAATGGTCTGGAAGAGCCTACAGAGGGAAGGCAGCAGGGACTCAGCATAGGGCAGGGACAGGCCCAGACAAAAATGAAAGGTAGCTACTGAAGGAACTGTGGGTGACACTTTTCCACCTCTCTCTTCAATAGTTTGTTTCTCCTCATTGCTATTGCAGTGCCACCTATATTTGGCCCTGTCATCGAAATCTAGAAAAAGGAAATGGCTCTACTAGGAAATCTTACCCAATTCTTTTTTTCTATTTTTCCAGAGTAGAAAATCATGTACCTGAAAGATCTGATGAAGCCCAGTGTGTTAACATTTTGAAGATGGCCTCAGGTGACAAAAGTACTACACACTTTTAATTAAAGAGTAAAGTCCGTTTGTCCATTTTTTCATCACATGTGGATTGGTTCGTCTATTTTTTTCTTTTTTAAATTAAACTTTTTGGGGTGACATTGGACAATAAGATCATATGCTCTCCTTTTCAAGTTTTTGGCTGACCTTTTTACTGTCTCTCTGAGCCTTCCCAGAAGGCAATAAAATAGTACATTAATAACAGTGGGGGCTCTAGGACTCCCTCTAAATGAAATAGCCTCCCTGTAATGCCAGCTCTGTTCCCTATGCCAGGAGCAGATTTTATCTGCTGCTTTTCTTTTTAGAGCACACTGATTGGCTTCTGGCTAATGTTGAGGACTAATGCCTCCTGTTTCAGATTTGGCCTCTCTTCTTAATTTTACAAATTATGTTTTCTGTCGAATTCCCATTTCCTGGAATAGTGACTTCTACCCACTCTGGATTCTAAGATAGTGCCTCAATCTATCTTGTATACCTGTGACTGAACACCTACCTCTTCAGCCGGAGTGGGAGGTATATATTTATGGCTTTATAGTGTTAATATTAACATTTTGAAATATAAAGAAATATGTATTATAATAATGTAATTATGATGCCTTGAGAAATGTCCACCCTCTGCTGAGGAGATCTTGTTCTTCTGTGAGGATCAGAAAGGAAAGTGGTGGCCTGGTGTGCTGACAACAATAAGCAGACAAACTCAAAATTTGGGAGACTAGGAGAGACAAAGAAGGAACCAGCTCTGGATCCTGGAGCCATTTCTGTATAGGCCGTTGCTAATATTGAGGAGGATCCACGTGCCCAACAAGCTCTTGATAAGCCTTAGCAGAGAGCACTGGATAAAGCAGAAGAATGCTGTGCATCATGAACCCTACTTCTCTTCTTGGAAAAACTAACTGAGGTGATGTGAGGCATCTGTGTATGAGCCAATAGAGAGATCACAGTACTCAAAGGAGGAAAAAAAAAAGAAAGATCTTGATCAACAGAGATGCACATAAATATTCAGTCTGTCTAGCCCTTGGACAAGCCTTGGGATGAGCAGCAGATGGACAGAGACCCCGGTGGACAGCCTGTCCAAGTGGACTTAAGACAGGCAGTAGTTTCCTGGGTGGTCAGTGAGGTGTTTTGATTATACTCAGGCTGTTTTGATATTTCACCTGCTGGTAGCAGAGCTTGGGTGAGAGAGCTATCATGAGATAAATGGAAGGAGGCTTAGAACTCTCCCAATTAATGGCGGAGAGACAAAAGGCTGGAATAAAGTTTGGCAGACCAGGATGCAATTCATCCTGATGTTAATGTAGCCCACAGATGCCCTAAGAACATATTGGCTGGTCCAAAGCAGTGCTAGTGAACTTGTATCTAAGGACTGCTTCTAAGCATCATTTTTTAACAAGAAAACTGGGTACAGGAGAGGAATATACTAGCCCAACAGAAGTAAGTCAGGAGACCCTGGCTCTAAGGCAACATTACTAAGGTATGGAGTAGTTTGGGTTCAAACCTGAAGAGAACTCTGGGAGGCCCAAGCTACAAAAATAGTTCTGTAGACTCTAGAGATTTGTAGACAGCTGTGCTAGTGCATTCAGTTTTGTAGTATTATCATTCATAGGCACTGCCCTGCCCCTGCCTTCTTTAGACTCTAAGCATCTTGCTGGTTCCTACTATGTTTTGTACAGAGTAATTCTCAGTAAATTTTTATTAAATTGATTTAAAAGTCTATGTGTTTTGCTTCTACCTCAGCAGTACCACCCAACCCTTGGAGTCTGATGTTACTCCCTCTGGTTTCCTAAGGTACTTTTTCCTCTTGACCTCCCTATGGTAGCCCCATTCTCCAGCCACCCTAGCCAGAAGCCTCTGACTCATCCAAAACTCTCTTCTTTCCTTTTTCCTAACTGTTGTATGAAACAGAAGGGCTAAAACAATTCTAAATGTTAATCTCAGTAATAAGACATAAAATATTAGGTAAGACAGGTTGTTTCTGAAGACAACTGAGAAGTTTGGAGTTAAGGAAGGGATACTTGCTATTCAGTTTGTAACCTTTTAAACTATATAATTTTAAAACTTATATGCTTGTATATACACTAAACAAAGGCTAATGTAAATGTACTCCTTGAAAATACATTATTATAAAACGAATTCATATAACTGTACTGTATGCTTGAAAGTTGCTGAGAGAGTACATTTCAAAAGTTCTCGTCACAAGAAAAAATAATTTGTAACTATCTGTGGTGATGAATGTTAACTAAATTTATTCTGGTAATCATGTCACAGTGTATACATATATCAAATCATTATGTTGTAAACCTAAAACTAATATGTTATATGTCAATTATGTCTCAATTAAAATATATAAATGCAGTGAAATTCTGGGGGAAAACTCTCTAGGATGCAAGGGCAGGGATGTGTCTAACTTCTTCACCAGTGGATCCCAGGCACCTAAGTTAGTACCTCAAAACTACTTTTTAAATGTTGAATAAAACATTAATCTGTCCTCTTATAAAAACATTCCTCCTCAGTATATTAAATTCTCTAGACCTTCTGTATTCCAAGTCTGGGGAAAGGAAAGCCAAGAAAGGTTAAAAGAGGCACTAGGTTTAATGACGGTACTAACATCACTGGTGTTGGCCTTGTACTAGGGATTCTCCTAAAATCTTTAAATTTATTATCCCACTTAATCCTCATAATGGCCCTGTGATGTCAGTATTGGAATATGATGCCCATTTTTCTGATTAGTAAACCAAGGCACAGAGAGGTCAAATCATCTTATCCAAGGTCTCTAACTTAGTAAATGGCAGAGCTGGGGAAAATTTTAGAAAGCGCCAACCCTCCAACCCTTTATTTCCCAGCCCCATGTCTTCTGGCCACAGAAGAGACCGCATTTTGGTTGGTTGCATGTTGGGTGCCTACACCACACTTTGCATTACAGTAGCTCAGCCCTCCAAGGGGGTGTCTCCAGAGGACTGAGCAACTGACTCTTCTGGAAGCCATTCCATCATCTTATAAGGCCAGAAGCTATGGATGATAAGGCACATAATGTGACCAGTGAAAATGGGTTTTTGGTCAGAGGAAATGTGAACTACAATTGCTGCCTCCAAATCCTCCCCCTCTATCTCTGCTACTTATTATTCTTTTGCAATTCATTATCTTCCCTCTGCCATTCTGAAGCCAGTTTCATCCATTCAGTGCTCTCACATGTGCTGGCCCAAGCTAGAAAGCGCAGAGTCATTTCTGACTACTGCCCTCCGACCTTTCCCTCTACACCCACTGCCCACCTCTGCCATATTGCCACATTGGATCATCACCAGGCCAGGCAAAGATCCCTCCAGCTTTAGCATCCACCCCTTCTTTTCTCAGTCATGCCCTTATTCCCAAGAACAGAACAATCACCACGCACCTGACCCCCTTACCCATTATCTTTCTTACCCTGCATTCAGTCCAAAACATCAAAAGGAACAAGGAGGTAAATAGTGAAAAACAGGTCTCTCTCACATTCCTTTTTCCTGGCCATACAGAGGCAACTCCAACCTCCAGCTTATATATCTTTCCACAGACACACTGTGCCTATATATATCATGCATATGTAAGGATGTATATACATATATACACACATGTATACACATATATACATGCATGCACACACATGTATGTATATATTTCATATATATTCCATATATGTACAAGGTTTGTCTGGAAAAAATCCAACCATTGCTAATATAATGAGAACAGTTTTTGTGATGTCGATGTAATCTGGCAGCCAAGGAGAGTGGACTGGTATCAGCCTGTGTGAACATTGATGACTTCACTGTACTAGTCAGTAGGGATGGTAGACACCATTGAGTGAACATGTGTACTGTGTGGCCGTTGCATTCAAAATGACTGAGCAAGTAGAGCAAGGAATCTGCATCAAATTTTGTGGTGAACTTGAGCATTCCTCCACAGAAACTATTGAGGTGATTCAGAAGGCCACAGCTGTGGGCAACTGGTGATTGGCAGCTTCATTATGACAATGCACCTGCTCATACATCACATCTCATACAGAGTCTTTTGGCAGAACATCAAATCACCCAGGTGACTCAGTCCCCCTTATAGCCCAGGTTTGGCGCCCTGTAACTTCTGGTTCTTCCCCAAACTAAAATCACCTTTGAATGAGAAGAGATTTCAAACTGTTGACCATCAATGAGATTCAGGAAAATACGACAGGGCAGCTGATGGTGATTGGGAGAACTGTGTGAAGTCCCAAGGTGCCTACTTTGAAGGGGACTGAGGCATCGTTATCCTATGTACAATATTTCTTGTATCTTGTATCTTCTTCAATAAATGTTTCTATTTTTCATAGTACATGGCTGGATATTTTCTGAACAGACCTTATATATTCCCCTTGTTTGGTCAGATTTGGTTTCATTCTATAGCTAAGCAACCTAAACAGCCTAAACATAAGGTTCTTTTTAAGATGATTAAGAGACACATCATCAGTCTTTAGTTGCAATCCTTCGTATTACAACTATACTTCTTTATTGTATCAGTTTTCATCTCACCCACACACCAGAATTCTTGTTGATCTTATAATAAAAGGTTTCATCTCTACCTGTACACTCGAGGAGGAAAAATACAAACAGGTACAAAGTCCTGCACTGTCATTGGGCACACAGTTTTGAACCTGCACCAATCTGAACAAATTATATCCTAGGTCTGGTGGATAAACAGTCACTCTGAACTGGATCTCCTTTTTCCTGCATTTCATATATTTGTCTTTTTTGACTTACTCCCTCACTTTTGTTGTACATATCCATCAGTAGCTTTCTGAAAAAGGATATGTGAGAAGTAAATTGAATGAGATTTAGTGTATCTGAAAATGTCTTTATCCTGCTCTCCTACTAAGTTAATCATTGGTCTTGATAAAGAATTTGGAGTTATAATCTGTTTCTGTTGTCTCCAGCTTCCAGTGTTGCTCTTGAGATATCTATAGATATTCTGACTCCTTACCTTTTTTGCTGTTGTTCTATTACAGTTATCC